AAAGGAGAGCTAAAGGCAAACACATTGCTATTGTATGGTCATTGTTGAGGGGCTGCATGTGAGCCCCTCTATATAATTAACACGTTTACCACCACTGGCCTAGATCCTTTCTCTATAGAGCAGTCAACAAGTGTAGAGCCAACTCTGGTCTTTCCCACATGCCCTGTACACACACACACACACACACACTGCAGCCTAGTTCACAGTTGCTCATTTTACTCCTTAAACGCATTCTGGTAGTAATTGTAATACATATGTGGGTAGTTCAGTGCTGTTTGGGGTTCAGGCTGTTTAAAAAAAAAAAATGTTTTAACTTTTTTTTTTTTCATTTTACAAAACAAACCTAAATGAGAGATCCGTGACTCTTTGCATGCTGGGCTTTTGACTACTAAAGCCTCTTACAGCCTTCCTGCTAGCTGGTAGAACTTCAATAACCCAGATACATCAGATGTAGGTCTATTATGTATGTATTTGTTTAATTAATTTTAAAGATCTTTTTCGTTTAACAGCAGTAGTCTTCTCTACTGCAGAAAGCATACATTTGCAAAATACACACAGGATGTTGGCAGATAATACTTAAATGCCATCACTAGTTGCGCACACTTTGGTTCCTTTCTCTCCACTGTCACTCATTTGTCTGCAGGAGGGAGGATAAGAAACTCTGTGCAAGCTCCAGGTCACACTAGTCTGATGTTCGACAGATGAACACCATTTCGATGCCCCTATATGACCATGCGTATGCCTACCAATCGCACTTTAGATTGTGTAGTAGTCCTGTCCCAGAAGGACAATGCTGCCCATCCATAGATGCAGAACTGTGAATGTAGAAAGTGTATGACAGGCAGGATCACTGTTGGGGGAAGTCTGAAAAATAAAATGAATGCAGCCAACCCATTTTAAAGACTGCTAAGCTGCCATGTATAACGCTTCTGTTCATGGGTTTAGATACATTTTAATGTAATGTTTAAATCGTGTCCCAGTTGTTGTAATTCTTCCCCCATGAAAAGCAGGCACTATGGTCTTCCTCTTTGCCACTCCCCTTACCATTCTGGAGTCAACAAATGTATGGTGCACTGTGGCATTTTTCTCTAGATCTGATGCCTGCATGTATATTCTACCTTTGCAATGTATGGGCGATGAATGAAACTAGAACTTACCTGTTTCTTGAGACTTAAATGTGTTTGTTTATGCTAATTCCAGGCATGCGTAATCATTTTATTAATGATGTCTGGTTTGTCTTTACCAGACATTTCTAAAATTCTGTTTTCACTTTGTCATGATGGGGTACTGAGTGTAGATTAATGAGGGGAAAAAGAATTTAAGCAAGTGTAGTATCTGGCTGCAACATAACCAAATTAAAATAAGTGAAGAGGTCTGAATACTTTAAAAAAAAAAATGTTTTGTGTATTTTTAAAATTGCATTAAAGGTAACATGCAGACATTTCTGAATTTTATATAAAGGATGGACCTCTTCAAGCGCTCGGTACTACTGTCTGGATGTTTGGTGCCCAACACGTTGCTTGCTGGCACCAGGGAAAGGCTTATGCATAACAAACATGCATAGTCGGTTACAAAAAGATGACAGCAGCTCCTGATATGTAGGCTGCATCCCTGCTAACATAACTCCTTGTGTGAAGGGATGCTGCCAACGGATTGGGAGCTGCTGTTGTCTTTTT